AAGAATTGATGCTTTTGAACTGTGGTGTTGGAGAAGACTCTTGAGAGTCCCTTGGACTGCAAGGAGATCTGACCAGTCCATCCTAAAGGAGATCAGTCCTGGGTGTTCATTGGAAGGACTGATGTTGAAGCTGAAACTCCAATACTTTGGCCACCTGATGCAAAGAGATGACTCATTGGAAAAGACCCTGATGCTGGGAGGGATTGGGGGCAGGAAGAGAAGCGGATGACAGAAGATGAGATGGTTGGATGGTATCACCGACTCGATGGACATGGGTTTGGGTGGACTCCAGGAGTTGGGGATGGACAGGCAGGCCTGGTGTGCTGTGGTTCATGGGGTCATAGAGTCGGACACGACTGAGCGACTGAACTGAACTGAAATGAATGTGCCAGATTTTGGCCATACTAATAAGTGACAAACTTACTTGTCATCTGTATATTTTCTTTTGTGAGGTGCTTAGATCTCTTTAGTCCCTTCTAGACTTAAAGCTCAGATCCTGGTCACCCCCAGCAGAAACTTCTATTGGATCACCCTTGGCGAAGGAGCACAGTGGGGAAGTCACTTGAGACTGAAAACTTAAGTTTTTCGGCCCAATTTTCACAGGATTTTATTGTTGTTAAGTTTGAGTACTTTGTATGTTTTACATGTAGTTCTTTATCAGATGTGTCTTTGCAGATATTTTCTCTCAGGATGTCTCTTGTCTTCTAACACGCTTGATATTGTCTCTTTTTGCAAAGTAGAAGTTTTTTATTTTAATGAAGTTCAGCTTATTAACTGTTTCTTTCATTGGTTGTGATTTTGGGGTTGTATTAAAAAAAAATCACTATACTCAAGATTATCTAGATTTTCTCCTGTGTCATTTTTTAGGGATTTGATAGTTTCACTCTTTACATTCAGGTCTATAGTACACTTGAGTTAATTTTTGTGAAGAGTGTAAGGTCAGTGTCTTGAGTCAATTTTTGCATGTCAATGTCCAGTTGCTCCAGCACTATTTGTTGAAAAATCTTTGTTCCATTGCAAGCCTTATTCCTTTGTCAAAGATCAGTTGACTATATCTATGGATATCTACTCTGGACTCTCTATTCTGTTCCAATGACAAATATATTTGTCTACTCTTTTGCACTTGCCACATTGTCTTGATACTGTAACTATCATAAAGTCTTGATTTTGGGTAGCATCATTCCTCTTTGCTCTTCACAGGATTTTGTTCCTAACATTTCCCTCTAATATATATTGTTTTCCCCTTTAGAATCTTAAAATTTTAAAAAGAGAAGGTCTTCATTTATATCCTTGATCAATATCTATTTTATTTAGAATTTTCTTAGAGAAAAACAGACTGAACTTAATGGTTGTTACTTATTTAAACCTATATATCTGTATATGTTAAGAAATATACATAGGGGATATATCTGAGAATTTTAAACAATGAACATATTAAATTCACTATCTGTTAATTAGTATGATTTGAATAAACTTTATGTATATATAATGTACACAGAATAGGGAAAACTTATCTGGTGGAACACTGACAATTATATAATTTATTCCCAATAAGATTAGAATTTCTTAGGTTACTCTTAGATTTTTTTTTTTCATTTATTTTTATTAGTTGGAGGCTAATTACCTTACAATATTGTAGTGGTTTTTGTCATACATTGACACGAATCAGCCATGGATTTACATATGTTCCCCATCCTGAACCCCCCTCCCACCACCCTCCCCATCCCATCCCTCTGGGTCATCCCAGTGCACCAGCCCTGAGAGCCCTGTCTCATTCACCGAGCCTGGGCTGGCGATGTTTCACATATGGTAATATACATGCTTCAATGCTATTCTCTCAAATCATCCCACCCTTGCCTTCTCCCACAGAGTCCAAAAGACTGTTCTTT